GCCAGCCCTCCTGGGGGCCTGTCACCCGCGCAGCCCCTTCTGTGGCCCAGGCAGGTTAGGGAAGAGCGCAGGTGCCCCAGCCGCTCCTGGCCGCTAACGGTCCAGGAAGCTGGCGTCCCTCAAGAAGCATCTGGAACAGAGCCTCTGAGGGCTGCTCAAACAACAAGCACGGGCTTCTGGCGCTGAGAGCTCCGTCAGCCTTCCTCCGGAGTCTCCCCACCACCACCACCCCCAGCCCCCGCCGCCAGGGCTCCAGGATTCCCACAGCAAGCGCAGGCCCCACGCGGTCCCAGGACCCCTGCGTCTCGGCCCACAGACAGGGCCTGCAGAGCAGGCAGCGGGCCGCCTCCCGCAGCGGCCGGCGGCGGCAAAGGCCCCACGCATCACTGTGGGGAGCTGGGGGCCCCACCCTGCCTCTCAGCCTGGGAACCTTGTTCCCAACCCCAAACCAGATCCCACAGCCAGATTTTATTCTTGCTTATTAATTTTTGTGAACAGCTGTACAAAATTACAGAAATTGAATCCCACCAGGGAACAGATTTATTAACCACGTTTTCTTACTAAGAATAAAATGTTATGAACTCAGGTGAGTCCTGATCTTAGGGACTCTGGAGTTGTCAGGCCTCAGAAGTGATCTGTAATCCTGTCCCCTCCCCACCCCAGGCCCAGCCCCAGAAAGGCGCTCCCAGGCTGCTTCTGGGGACAGACGGTGAGCCAGCCACACTGCAAGACAGGGCCCTCCTGGGACCTCCCCCAAGCTCTGGCTCCTGCACCAAAATCCCACTGCAGCCGAGAGGTGGGGTAGGGCCCGGGCAGGGGCTGCCGGGCTGGGCTCCTGCCTCTTCGTCCAGCCACAGCCCAGGCGGCCACTGCCCCTGCAGCCCCAGCCACGCCCCGTTTCTCCTGGCCTGACCGCCCCCTTCCTGCCTTCCTTACAGCTGATCAAAGAGAAGCTATTAGACCTTCTTGGCAAAGAAGAGGACGAAGGGAGCCACGACGAGAATGTGGTAAGAGTGCCCCAGGGGTTCGCAGGTGGGTTTGTTCCTCTGGCTTGTCCAGGTGGGGTGAACCCAGATGCCAGGGCCGGGCAGGCGGGGCGTGCCTCGTCGCACACCTTTCCCTGGCTTATGACACTCTGTCAGCTCCCAAATCCAAGGACACTCCAACTGAGCCTTGAGTCTCTCTCTGGAACTCACCCCAGGGCCCAGTAGTGCTAGCCATGGACGGACTAGAGACCAGGTGATGCTTCCTGCCTGGCCCGGCCCAGCTCCTCCCAGGCCAGAGGGCCACTCCCCTCTCCTCATGCCTTGGGAGAACTGGAGAGACTCTGTGTGGGTCCCTTATTCTCCAGAGGGGCAAAATGCACACAGGGACATCACTGGTACTCTGCCCCATTTGAAGGGGACGTGAGGTTTGGGGTCTGTGACGTTGGAAGTAGCAATTGTACCTGTTAGGACTGCTGACCACGGCGTGCCTGGTACACGTCAGGCCCTCTGCTGCATGCCGTAGGAGTTCCATGTCATTTCAGACCTATGGTCACCCTAGAGGAAGGTCTGTCTTTATCTCCATTTTGTATATGAGGCAGTTGAGGCCCAGAGGCCAAGGTCACACAGCTGGGGAGTGTCAGAGCTGGGCACAGGGCTCCCCAGCCTTCGTCCTACTCGGCCTCTCTTCCCTCGGGCTGGAGAAGCAGCAGCTCCCTCTTCTGCTGTCCGTTCTCCTTCCCAAACTCAGTCCGCTCCCGGACCCTGGTCTCAGCTGGCTGGTGCGGGTATGGGTATCGCTGGCTTTCCCCAGGTCAGCGGCCCTTCCCCCGAGAGAACCATCCCATCAGGTGGCCTTAAAGTCAAAACATCCAAAATGGATTCCAGCCCCTCCGCCTGGCTGGGCTCCCACTTCTGTTGCTAAAAACCTCGCTTTGTATCTCTCGGGTCCCTGTAGCTTCTGTCTGAACGGAAGACAGCCTCCGTTGAGGAGAGGGTGGTGTGGAAGGAAGCCAGGCTCTGGACTCCTTGGCTGACCTGCCTGGATTCCAGGTCCCTGCTTCCTAGCTGTGTGCCTGTGGTCACCTTACTTCCCTCCCTGAGCATCTGCCAAGTCACTGGGACCTCAGGCAGGGTGGGGGTGTCATTTGGATTAAGTTGAGACCGTGCCTGGAAAACAATCAGCTTTGCCTAGTTTATGATCAACATTCAGCAAGGACAGGCTCCCTCCCCCGCCCTCCCTCCTGCCTTCAGAATGTCTCAGAGCCATAGCTTCCCCTCTGTCCCCTCCCCTGCTCCCAGCCGCATCCTTATCAAGTCTCCTCAAATTCTTGGCACATTATTCTGCTCCCACCCCTCCCAGCTTCCAGCCCCCCACAGCCTGGGACTCACCCAGAGGACCCAATGCCATTTCAGCCCCTCCCTGCTCAGGGACCCAAGACGACATTTCCTCGGGGCCAGCCTCGCCCTAAAGGTCCTGCGGGCAGCTGTGACCAGCTCTGGTTCTGGCTGTCAGGGGTCTTCCCTGCTTGGCCTCAGCAATGGGCACCCCGTGCCCCAGGCCGTGCCCCAGGCTGCACCTCATCCACC